CCAGATAAATTGACTGAAACATTCACTGTGGATCAAAAAGGTTAAGAGGAGGAGTTTTCATGCCCAGGTTCCTCAAATAGTACGTTTCCTAATGAACGTACTACTTAACATTCAAACCACACAAGACTGAACTACTTACTAAGTAGCATTTTCAGAACATACAATACATATGCAGAACAATGCTTAGACTTTTGTTTGTATTTTGTGGCCAAATTTACAGATTGCTATGATGGTCTATAAATGTTTCAAAAATATTGTACAGTAGTGGTACACGTAAGCCATTGGCTCTTGTATTCCAAGAGCCAAAATGGATGCCTGAAACCACAGATAGCATCAAATCCTATAGATATGATATTCTTCCTATCTGTGCATACCCAAAATGTTTTACCTTATGAATTAGGCACAGCCAGATTATCCACAACTTATAAGAAAATAGAACAGCTGTAACAAGCTGTCTTAAAACATCATTCCTTCTAAATTTGGGAGCTGCAAGAATATTTGAACATAGTCCAAGTTACCATGATCTGGTAACCGAGATGTCCAGTAAGTAAGAGTCAGGAAGTGACTGCCTGGGTGGTCAACACAGGGTGGATACACTGGACAAAGGGATGGATTATGTCCTGGGTGCAACAGAATAGGCCTGTGTAAGATTTCATCACATTCCAGAATGGCATGCTGTTTAAACTTTAACAATTTCTTCTTTATAGAACTTCCCATTTAATGGTTTCACAGACTATAGTTCATAACAGGCAACTAAATTCACGGAAAGTGAAGGCATGATTAGAGGTGGACTACAGTATAAAAGATAGTACCAACTGTGACCAAAAGTTTGCGTGTGCCAAGTGATGAACTGAGTATGGCCTTTTGCTTATTTTAAAATGAACAAAGAGGCTTACAGAGGTTATAAAGGCCATTCAGGTAGCAAATGACAATACAGATTTCAAACCACACTGTTTGACCTCAAAGCTGTTGCTCCTGGCCACCACATATTGGTTCTCAGGTTTTAATGTCCTAAGAACTTGAAACTTTAATAAATGTGAGTATTTCTAACGTGATTCCCATTCATTCTGATTTGGATGCTTAGGGACCCAGGAATATGTATTTCTATCAGACATTCTGCATGTCTCATAAAGATGGCTCAGAATTCATACCTTGCAAAAACACTGCCTAACACCATGTGGGCTAGCACTCAAAATCAGAATGAGCATGAGCTGACAAAAATATTGGGATTTCAAGTTAAAAGTACAAAGTAGGTAAGTTTTTGTTGTGCGGAAACAAGCAAAGAGGAAAGCTGAATCATTAAATTCAATTAAAATGCCCATATCATACTTGTATAAGCTGTAATTTAAATTTTCAGGAAAAGAAGCATTTTTAATAATGTTTTCATATAAATCCTAATGTTCTATTTTCTCACAGGACAGGGAGTTTGCAATTAGGGGTGACAAATGTGACAGCAGTGCATCATTTAAGAAAATGAAAGCATTGCAGTATGAAACTTAGAGAAAACACCCCCCCCCAAGTCTTATTAGAAGTCATTGATGGCAGAATCACCAAGGAAACTAAGCATTTTAAGAAGCAGATAAATACAAAAAAATGAAAGACATAAATTACTCAACTAATGCATTCCCAGTGGAACCACACTACATGGTGAGATTCAAAGTAGACAATATTCAATGTCTTGGGATTATTCTAGCTGTCACTCCAGATAATAGAAACATAAAGTTCAACGATCAGCCCTAGAGATTACAGTTCCTTGGCCCTCAACTCTGGGAGTTCAAGTATATTGGCAGGCATTGCCCAAGATGAAAACAATTGATTTATTCCTTTTCTACATGTAATTCTTGTCTAATAGGATATGGAATAGTGTAGGTCAACCTTTTCATTCATTCCTCCTGGAGGTTCCCTATCACAGCTGGCAGAGTAACTGCTTTGAATCTTTTCCATTCCTTTCAATTTCCTACACATATGCTTGTCCCCATCAAGCACTGTGTATGAACTTGCTTTGTTTACCCTAGTCATCCATGAATCCTCCACATTTCCCTTCCTTCCATATTATGCCAAGCACCATCTTTTTTTCTGACACAAGCCAACATTGATGCAAAATACAGATCTATTGTAAACAAGTATATCCATAGATTCTCATAGGTGAACTGTGTCATAGAGACCAGAATACTAGGGAGTGAAGATACATCGTGGTAGGCTTTTCTACTCCCAAAAAGAAGGAGGACTCCCAATGACATAGTGAAATAAACCTTGACAATATGATACTAGACTTCCTATGTTTGTCAATACCCACAACACCATGACACACTTAGATAGCAGAATGTTAAAACTTGTAACTGTTAGTAAGTACTATACCACTGTAATGGGGGCTGGGAGCGGGAGGGGAAAATGAGGAGGGAGAAAAGGGAAGGGAAAGGGGGAGTCCCTATATCTATAACATTGTATCATGAAAAATATTAATTTTTTTAGTGTCAAGCATCTTTTTACAGCTCTTTAGCTCAAGATAAACACCATTTTTTCTTTAAGCCTAACTCCTGCAACCTTTGAGACTGACCCCATTACCTATGTCTTCTTAGAGACTCCCGTTCCATTCTCAGCAACCTCTATCAGTCACCTGCACTGTTCCAGTCTTTGTGAGGCATCAGGAATGCAAATACAGCAAGACATGAAGTTGTTGTGCAGCATTTTCTATCAGCTTGGAGAAAGACACTCAAGAAAGGTGAATACATGTGCAATGGGGCCCGTGGCAGCTAAAGTTTAAGTACTAGAGATGAAGGAATTTCCTCTGGGAAATTGCTTAGATTTAAAAGATAATTAAAAGTTAATCAAGTAGAGGAGTAGAAGTGAAAAGCTATAGAAGCTCAAGGGAGAACTGCCACTGATGGAAAAATGCTCTTGGGAATTGTGAGAAACAACCCAGAGGATTTCTGATTTTAAGTCTAAAATGAGCAGCTGAAGTGTTGTTACCAGATGCATGTGTTAGAGACAGCTCACTCTGGAAACAAACATGGTAAAAGGATTAGAATAATGCAAATGTCTTAAGTCAGCAGTGCAATAAGCAGGAGCTCAGGGCTTCAGGTCGTGCGTGCTTTGGAACAATAGTGGTGGCAATAGAGCAATATGATGAGTGAGAACTACATTTAAGTCATTAAAACTGCAGAGCTTAAGAACTGATCAAAAATGTGGAATAAGAAAAAGAGAAGAACCTATGCTTCGGCTTTGACAACAAACTAATGGCTGTGTGATACTGGATAGTGACTAGTAAGACTGAGTCTATGGGGTGCCCTAGAGGACATGTGCAGTATGCAACTGATTTGTGGGTGTGACACTTCAACAGGTGAGATCATAGCTGTAGGCAAGATTTCCCAGGGAAAATATTGTAGTGAAAGGGAGAGCTGAGAGAAGAGCACTTATGAAGCCAAAATCAAAGGCCTGCAAAGATAAATTGAGTAGGAAGAGCTGGAGAAGTAGAAGAATGGGAAAGAATGGCATTACTGAGATGAAAGGAAAAGATGTTCAACGACGTGGACAGCTGTTGAATGCGTTAGAGAACAGTTCAAGTAAAAATTGAAAGGCACCCTGTAGGATGTAAGCTGAAAGAATTCTTTTTCTGCCTCACACTATACTTCCTTATGATTTAATGAATTATGCTTGGTAAATATATAAGAATTCTTCAGTTGAATTTGCTTGTTTTCAATGCATTCTCCTTCGTTTTATCATAAACCCTGCACTGTGATTTCTATAATAAATTTTGCCAGTGGTAAACTTCTTCACTTCCACCAATCACATTTCATGTCAGTTTCCTAGACTTTTGCCTCATTCATTAGTATGTGTAATCTCTCCACATAATTATATAGTATTTTGTCATTATTTTATATTCCCCTTTGGCTATTTAACCCAACTTTCTTCTCTTAATCTTCTGAAGATACCTGTTCACCCTGCTAAAGGGACTGCTTATTCTTAAGCTTTTAAAACAAAATTGTCCCCAATATTTGATTCATAATTCTTTAATCTGGGAAATTCGCATGTCTAGCCCCTGTGAAATCTCACATCTCACTTGTGTACAAGAACTTCTAATTGCAATCACAAGTGAGATTTTCAAATGGACATCTCAACAGACATTTCAACAAATTCAACATGCCCAATGCTGAACTCGCCTCCCTATATCCTGACCTTCCAAAAGTAGTGTCCTGTTTTCTAACCTTGTCACGTACAGATCTTCCCTCATTTCACTTCCCACACACAATCAACCCTCAACCCGCAGTGTGCATGCTTTCTCTTGGGTCCTCACTGTCACAGCTTCCCTCTGTTACCTCAATTAGAATATGAGAATAGGAGTCTTCAAAAATCCACAGAAACTTAACACTATTTTTAGAAACCTGCCTAGACTTTATGTTAGAGTGATCCTTTAACTGCTGAATTCCCATCATGTAGAGGATCTAGAGAAATAAGTTCCCATGGTTTACTTCCTGTGATGACAACAATCAACACTGAATGGCCACTTTGTAACACATTCAGTTCTTAGCACTTTACATAGTTTTCCCTTTTGCTATTTCCCTTGAGTTTAAAACAGCAAGTTTGTTTATTCTGATTCAAATGGTCCATTTACGGGTTGCACATTAGTCTGAGTGATACAACCAGTTTCCCAAGTGACAAGAAACTTGTAGAATAAAAGCTCATTTTGCCACAAACACTTCTAGCAAGCGCTCATACATGTCTAACGTATAACAATGACAATCCAATGCATGACTAAAATTTGAAATACCTTCTTAGTTATCAATGAAATATTAAGATACATTTCCTAAAGGCTTAGAGATCATATAATCTCATTGTTTGAAAAGTGGTAATCTCTGAAAGCATACTTTTCACTTCCATTAGAATACTGCATTCTTTCCAGTTGTTTAAATGCTGCTGCCCTTAAGAATTAGTTTTCAAGTATTTGGTCTTTGGATTCCACAAGCAAATGCCAAAAGAACAACAGAGAATACTGTACTTACTTAAAAAAGCCAATTTTTGCAGAAACCTGTAAATCAGCAGTACAATTTTCATGGGCACAAAACCTTGCAAAGTTTATCTGGAAAAAAAAATGAAATTATTTTAAAATTTTAGTTCAATACACAGACATACTTTACTAAATATTTGTCAAGCATAAGTAAAATATAATACATTGACTTAACAACTCCTGCTCAAGGGCTCAATCTGAGAATTAGTAAGTTCAAATGGTGTAATTGTAACAGTGCAGAAATCAAGTTCTTCTAACAGGACATTTTAAAACTTAAAATTGAACATGATTTTAAGATAACAGTAAAAAGTTGAATGAAAGGCACCTGACAGATAACTGGAGAACATTAACCACCAAGTCGTTCTTCATCAAGATCCTCTCAGTTTTCCTTTTTAACTTACAAACAGGCATAGAATCAGTTTTGGCAAACGATACATTGAGACTTTCATTGAAATTACACTATTTAAAGTTTTCAAAAAAAAATTTAAAAAAAGTTTTCTCCCTCCTTATCCCAGATACCAAACAAGAAAAAGAGAGGGAAAGAATGTGGAAACAGTGATGTTACCCACTTTTCTGTAGCCCTTGACACTCTGTGCCCTAATCAACTATGTAAAGATCTGTCAAAATAAAATATGAACAAAATTTTAAAAATTATACTACGTAAAGTTTTAAATGTTTTATCTTGAGGAACTTTGAACATGATTAAATGGTAATCTTGCTATGAAAGGAATTCCAGAATTTAACTCTTGAATGTTTTCATAAGAGCCACAGATACATGGGAAGTATGTAGGTACATGGGAATGCTCAAAGAAAACATCAGGAGAGAAGAGAAGATGACAGGAATAGGTGATAAGAGGGAGAGAAAGAAAAGTTTAGAGGAACCAGGCACAGGGAGAGGAGAACACTGTCAAAGAGCATGCCAGCCCAGGAAGGGCTGCACTGGGGGAGGACCTTCAACCCACCTGCACAGGAAGGGCTGCACTGGGGGAGGACCTTCAACCCACCTGCTCAGGAAGGGCTGCACTGGGGGAGGACCTTCACAACCCACCTGCCCAGGAAGGGCCCATGCCTGGGGGAGGACCTTCAACCCACCTGCTCAGGAAGGGCTGCACTGGGGGAGGACCTTCAACCCACCTGCACAGGAAGGGCTGCACTGGGGGAGGACCTTCAACCCACCCGCCCAGGAAGGGCTGCACTGGGGGAGGACCTTCAACCCACCTGCACAGGAAGGGCTGCGCTGGGGGAGGACCTTCAACCCACCTGCACAGGAAGGGCTGCGCTGGGGGAGGACCTTCAACCCACCTGCCCAGGAAGGGCTGCACTGGGGGAGGACCTTCAACCCACCTGCACAGGAAGGGCTGCGCTGGGGGAGGACCTTCAACCCACCCGCCCAGGAAGGGCTGCACTGGGGGAGGACCTTCAACCCACCTGCACAGGAAGGGCTGCGCTGGGGGAGGACCTTCAACCCACCTGCTCAGGAAGGGCTGCACTGGGGGAGGACCTTCACAACCCACCTGCCCAGGAAGGCTGCACTGGGGGAGGACCTTCAACCCACCTGCCCAGGAAGGGCTGCACTGGGGGAGGACCTTCACAACCCACCTGCTCAGGAAGGGCCCACGCCTGGGGGAGGACCTTCAACCCACCTGCCCAGGAAGGGCCCACGCCTGCGGGAGGACCTTCAACCCACCTGCTCAGGAAGGGCTGCACTGGGGGAGGACCTTCAACCCACCTGCCCAGGAAGGGCCCATGCCTGGGGGAGGACCTTCAACCCACCTGCCCAGGAAGGGCCCACGCCTGGTGAGGACCTTCAACCCACCTGCACAGGAAGGGCTCGCTGGGGGAGGACCTTCAACCCACCTGCCCAGGATTAAGGAAGTACATGTTTTTTTCTGCCATGCAGGTTATTCCAAGAGTCAAAATGCCAGCCAACTTTTGGCTTGTATAGTTGTAATACTGATTCTTTCAATAATGATATTTACAGTATCAAATGCATGCAGAAATAGCTGATAATGAAAACTAAAAGTTTTAACAGAAGAATGAAAAAAAACTGACTTACATTATATGATACAACCATGATGTGATTGTAAATAAATAAAACCTAGAAAGGAAATCTGACAGGCAAGGCAGTGAATCCATGGACAGGGTGAGTGAGCAGGAGAACCAAATGAGACTAAGGAAGATAAACTAGGCACACAGGTTAACAGTAAGTAGTTGACTCATGAATGCAGGTTAGTTCTACTATTTCTCTCTAGTACTGGATTTTCTGTCCTGGCAAGGAAAAAATTAATGTTTTGCATATATGGGAACAACCAGAGTGGATAACTGCATATTTGAAAGTATTCAGTTCAGTATCTTATTGGGAATATCAAAATTAAGACAAATGGAAAACAAGACATATCATGAATCTGTTTTCATAAAAAATCATAATTATGAAAAAAGAATTCAGACATACAACCCTTTTCTTTAGAATTATGTCTTTTTAGAAAATGTTTTGAGTAAAGGAAAATATTCCTACCTTTTTTTTAAGAATGTCTTTTTCTTTCTTCTGCTGAAGAATTGGCTGAAGTGGTGGGAATTCCTCTGCACTTTGTTTAGCGATGACGTGCTGCCCAAGGCGGTAGGCGGCTTCAATGTGAACTGGAGTTAGGATGTCCCGCACATCTTTCTACAGGAATGAAATACCAGAATTATGGAAAAAAAATAAACATTCAAATAAAACGATATAGGAATACCTATTTTCTTGTGTAAGGCCAAACCAGCAAATGGAAGCCAAAACAATTCTATATTTTTCTTCTAAGTTATTTTACAGAATAAACATGAACACTCTTGCACCTTGCAAACACATTCATGTATCTTATGAAAAGCATAAGTAGAAGACTAAAACCTATACCCAATCCAGTAATATGAATGTCTACAATTGGGCTTGTTTCCTTGGTGCTGTTTTGTTTTTTTAAAAATAACTTATTTGATCCCAGCTTTTCATTATATTCACCTTATACATTATGTCAAAGTGCTAATTGATAGTGTTGTCTAACATTACACTAAACTTCTAGAAAAGTTAGTATCTCTGCTTATATTACTCGGAAGCTTTTTTTATTAATAAACTACCGCCTGGTTAAAAACCTAGCGAAAAGCTAGCCCCATTGTAAATTCTCTACCAGACTTATGAGTGACATGTTAGAAAGGTGTTTACTTTATGCATTTTATATCCTAGTGACTTTATTGAACTCTTACTAGTTGCTACAGTATGTTTCAGATTTGTTGCATTTCCATACTTCCAAAAATATTTTAATTTATTGATTTGGAATCCATCCTGCTGTGCATGACATTATTTTAAATGTAATATCTTAATTTCTACACAGTATTTATCATTCCTACTCTCATTTCTAGAAGTCTCATTAAATCATTCTATTTTTAAAATGTACCATCTTCTGCCATCTAGGAAACATTGTTTTAAAAGATTCATTTTATTTTTTGTACTAGAAAGTCAGATATACAAAGAGGAGGAGAGAGGAAAATCTTCCATCCACTGATCCCTAAGTAGTTGCAGTGGAGCTGTGCTGATCTGCAGCCAGGAGCTTCTCCTGGGTCTCCCACGTAGGTTCAGAGTCCCAAGGCCCTGGTCCATCCTCGACTGCCTTCCCAGGTAATAAGTGGGGAGCTGAATGGGAAGCAGGCCACCAGGATTAGAACCAGTGCACCAATGGGATCCCAGCACATGCAAGGAGAGAACTTTAGCCACTAGTCTACTGCATCAGGGCCCCTTTGCTTCAGATTCACCTTCTGTTAACACACACCCTGGGACATAGTGGCTAATGACTCAAATGCTTGGGTTCCTGCCGCTCCCGTGGAGACCCAGATTGAATTTCTATCTCCTGATTTTGGCCTGGCTCTGTTGCAGACAATTGGGAATGGACCAGCAGATGGAAGCTCGCTCTCTCTGCCTTTTAAATAAAATGGAAATGCATTTAACAATTTTAAAACGGACTCAATGAGGTATTCATTGGTCATTAAAGAAACCAATATGTTTTCAGCCATGCTAGCCTGTCTGAATTGTAATCTGTAGTTGAGGTTTCTATGTCATGACATCTTGTACATAACAGACATCACACTGAGCAAACTCAGTGGACCAGATCTCTTTGCACGTAGAGTTCTTGCAAGTTTAAATGTGGCTTACACATTATGTGCTACAAGCAAATGAAGAACTGCTCCTCATTAAAAGCTTGGTGGTAATACATAATCACACAGATCGCAGCTCTTTTACAATCTATAGTGACTCAAAAAATCAGTGAGGTAAATTAACATGACACATTCCACATATAAGACTGCATCTATTCTACAGCTATGCAAACCTAAAAAAGATAACTTTTTTTCTTTAAATTTGTGACATTATGTAAGTATGGGACTTAAAAGCAAGTGATCTGAAGGGGAAGTACATGTTCAAATCTTGGGCCGATTGCATATGACCTACATGACACCTGGCAAGTTACTGGTCTCTGGCTCGGTGAGCCCATCTGAAAATGGGAATAATGAGGATGATGGTGTTGATACTTGTCCCTGTTGTTGCTGAGGATTGGTGATATAATGGATAAAAATTTAGGTGACAAACACTTTGTGAATGTTGTTTCAAAATGTAGGTATTTAAGTCAGCCAAGGAATTTCTGAATATCTTTTTAAAAATAAATTCTAGTGAACATTTAGAAGGAATGGAACTGGATTGTGTCAAACTAATGAATAATAGAAAATTAAAGGTATTACATTTCTATTAATTAAATGTTAGCTGAAAGATTTGTAACATGATTTAGAGTTTCCAAGATCTCTCATTACTTTGCCATTTTTATAAAGATACGTTTATCAAATAACTTGATGATAATCAACTTCATGTGAAACCCTGACTGTTCAGGAATGCTGCAAATCAAGGCCCAGATCCCAAGTTACCAACTTGTGAAATCAGAACAGCTTGAAGCCCTGAGTATTACAATAGCAAACTTGATTAAATTATTCCCCAGGAGTAGGAGCTAGACAGCCACTGACAATTCCTCCACCTGTCCACTGTTTTAATTCTTCAACAAGCTTGAGTTGACCAAATCACATGTTATCTAATTCATACTAATTTTCTACAAGGTCTTCTCTACATCTGGTGTATATTACCTTCATTATTCTAATTAGCTTTTAATCATGCTTTCCTCACAATATACAAAATGCACACGCACTCTTGCAAAAGTGTATCAGACAGATATACACACTTATTTAATAGCTCTACCTAAGGACAAAAACTATAATATGTAAAATGCCCAGAAGTGACTAAGTATTTAGGAATGTAAAGATTTGCTTAAAATTTTCTTTTTTTTTTTCTTTTTATTGTTGCTTACATTGTATTATATGGTACAGTTTTATAGGCGCTGGGGATTCCCCCCACCCCTCCCATACCCCTCCCCCCATGGTGGATTCCTCCACCTTGTTGCATAACCATAGTTCAAGTTCAGTTGAGATTCATTGCTTGCAAACACATGCCTAGCATAAAGTTCAGCGTCTTATTGTCCAGATAAGTTCAGTGGCCTCTTGGGGAGACCTTCTATGGTCTGAAGATAGGTCTAACAGAGTAAAGATCCGGTCAGTTAAAAGCCCCAACAAGGCCTCAGTATCAATATACAACATTATGGAATTAATTGACATAGTATTGGGTAAACAATATGTTAAAAATAATGCAAATTCCATTCTTCAAAACATTTCATCTGGACAAGCATATGCTATCTACATTAAGAATAATGAACATTCCATGCCACATATTTATGGACAATTATCTTTAAAAAACATGTAAGAACCTGCAAATGAACACAAATTTCAAAATTACATTAATTCTCCCTTGTTGCTTGACATTCATGGAAACACATACTTCTGGCCAACTTCAAGATGAACTCTAGGAGGGCAGTATTGTCACAGAGCCATTAAGCTGCTGCCTGAGATGCCAGCTAGTGGAATGCTAGTTTGAGTTTCAGCTGCAATACCTCTAACCCAGTTTGCTGCTAATGCCCCTGGTTCAAGTGCACAGGATCCGGCCACTCATCTGGGAGAACTACAGTCCCTGGCTCATGGATTTGTCCTGATGCAGCCCTGACCATTGTGGACATTTGAGTGCACTGGTAGGTAGAAGATCTCTTTCGTGATCTCTGTCTATGTACTCTGACCTTCAAATAAAGGCATAATGCTTAGGGGGAAAAATACAGATGCATGTACTGAAAGTTTAAAAGGTGAAACAAAACCTTTATAAAATAGGGTATGAAGGCATGATGAACATTTACAGATATCTATTTGTGGATCTACTGCATACATGAAAGTTCTGAAAATATGGAGCTGAAGGCACCACCAAGTCTACAGCCCATAAATTCATACAGACACCGTGAAGGGTCAGTATGCCAACACATGCATGCCCAAGTGCAAAGGAGAAATGGCCACCTCATCTGTAGTTGAAAGGAGCTGGGCAGTCTCTCACATGAAAGAATTTCAAGCAAGAAATATGATCACATTTGTGTTTCTGAAGCACTTCCAGTGCCAGTGAGGAATTTGAGAAGCTACTTCCAAGGTATATCTTAGAACCTCACCTAGCACATCAAAAGAAGTTACAGTCATCTTATCCAGTAAGCTTGGTTTAGATAGTAAAGAAGTAACAAGCATCTACACCCAATTTCCCAAGAAAAGGCATATTCCTAAGACAGCTGTTCTAATCATTGTATCAACAGAACCCTTTAAGATTTTCCCTTACTGAAGGAACTCTTTAAATAATACTGAAGATATAGCATTCATTACTCTAAGTATATATTGAGTTTTTGTCTTACTAATGAATTGTGTTAGTGCTAAGAGTTTAAGAAAAAAAATATGCACAATATCCTACTTCCAAGACTCTGCAATAAAACATGTACGTAATCAATTTACCTCCAAAATATGTAATACAGAATATAATTTTCCTGCACTTGGATTTTCAGCAGAAACATATGTAAGTAGGTTCCAGTCTTAAAGTCTTATGTTTTATGATGACATGATGAACATTTACAGATATCTATTTATGGATCTACTGTGTACATGAAAGTTCTGAAAATATGGAACTGAGGGTACCCACCATACTTTTCATCCTCCCTTGTGCTCAAGTAACAGTAGGTACTTTGATGCAGACACTCTGTCAAGAGAAACTACAGAATATTATCCATCAAAGCCTTAAGGGAAAGAGAGAGTATTTGCCCATAGCAGTTAAGATGCCGTGGGATACCAGCATCCCATATGGAGCACTTGCATCCATTCCTGGCTCTGCTTCTGATTCAGCTTTTGATAAATGTACAGCAGGTGATGGCTGAAATATCTGGTTCCTTGCTACCCACGGAGAAATTCTGGATTGAATTCCAGGTTCCTGGATTTGGTTTGCACAACAAACTCTAGAAATTGGAAGAGCCAGCCAGCAGAGGGACGATACCTCTCTCTGTCTCTCTTTCTCCCCTTTCCAAGAAAATAAATCAAGAAACAAAACCTTATGGGGGGTCCAGCGGCATGGCCTAGTGGCTAAAAGTCCTCGCCTTGGATGCGCCAGGATCCTATATTGGTGCCGGTTCTAATCCCGGCAGCTCCACTTCCCATCCGGCTCTCTGCTTGTGGCATGAGAAAGCAGTTGAGGACGGCCTAAGGCTTTGGGACCCTGCACTCACGTGGGAGACCTGGAAGAGGTTCCTGGCTCCTGGCTCCAGATTGGCACAGCACTGGCTGTTGTGGTCACTTGGGGAGTGAATCATTGGATGGAGGATCTTCCTCTCTGTCTCTCCTCCTCTCTGTACATCTGACTTTGTGACAAAAAAATAAATAAATCTTAAAAAAAAACTTATAGGGAAGATTCAGGAATATTTCTAGAAATTTTTAAGTTTTGTTGAACTCAAAACAACTTTAAAGATACCTTTTGCCCTAAGAAATTTCCAAGCTCTGATAAACTCGTGTACTTGAATATAGCAAGATGCTCATTTTCATTTAGTTACTGGAAGGAACAAACATCACACAGGAAAAAAAATGATGCCTGAAAGATTTCAACAGATAAGATCTTTTAAGGCATAAAGTAATACTTATTGCCCTTCTGCCTCAAAAACCTTTGTGAGCACTCAAAAAAAAAAAAAAAATCTATCTTGTAGGTTCTGCTTTAGCAGAGCCCACACCCATTAACATTGCAACAGAACTAGTGCCTGACATCATAAGCTACAAGCCGGCCAGATACCCCTATCCCCCAAAACCAGAGTTAAAACCCCCTCCACCCACTCCAAACCCTAAACACAAAAAAACCCACTCAGAGCGCAACAAATAATCGTCCACCACCAAATCCTCCAACCCAATACCATACCCACATATAGCAACATAAAAACCCAACTACCCAAATCCTCCCATTCACCCCAAGCTAACCCCCCCACGAGACCACCCACTACCCACAACTGCCACCCCCCCCATAACCTATCATATCACCACCAACAATGACAACTCCCACCCCATCCACACCATACGCCACCTCAACCACACCCAACCACACCCATTCGCCTACATATATCCACTCCTCGCCAACATAAATATACACCCCCCAACCCAAACCATACCCCCTCAAAACACCCCAAACCCCCCTGAACCCATACCCCCCTCACCCACCGCACCCCAATACCCCCCTCATCACAATAAACCCCCAACACTAACATACACCCCAACCCTCCACCCCCTTTTCTACCCTCCATCCCAACACCCACCCATCCTTATCACCCTTATTTTCACCCGCTCGAACCTCCGCAACTACCCCCCCCCAACCTCACATACCCCGATACCCCACTCTTTTTTTCCCCGAAACACCACCACTCATAAAAACTCATCCCCCCCCCCCCAACATTAATAACCGTCACGCTTAAAATAAATTCGTCCCCACCCAACTCCACCCCATACACACCCCACCATCCCTCATACCCACATACCGTGTATCATTTTCCAACCCTTAAGTCAACAAAAAACTCCAATACCTGCCATAATCCCCCAACCACCGGTACCCCCCCAGACACAAATTCACCCACCAAGCAACAAACCTTCTCATCTCGTCCGACCCATCTGTCCACCACCATTTCCATCCCCACCACTAACACTCCCCCATTGCCATATTAGCTTATGACTCCTCCCCTCCCCAGGCATGCTGACCACTGTGCACCTTCTTTGTTACTGCCATGAGGAAGAGAGGAGGCGGGATTCAAGCTGCCATGCTGTGCTCTCAGACTGTAGAAGCATAGATGTGTTAACGGGCTCTACCGCCTTAAGCTACCACCCTGAAACAATGTACACCTTGCAGTCCCACTCCTTCCTCACGACGATTAGCGCCCCCTGTGGAACTCCAGGTTAGGGCAGCCACCTGCATGGTTATTACTCTCTCTTGCTTCTAAATGAAAACACTGGGACACTTTTAAAACAAAAGAGGTTCCAAACAAAAAACAAAAGAACTTAGGGAGGGAAATAAGATATTGGAGAAAGCATTTTCAGTGTTCCAGCTCTATGCAAGTTCCGGCATTAAGTGGCAGTGTTTAACATTCACAGTTTAGGGGCCAACACAGTACAGACTAATATCCCACTTGCTGCAGCAGAATCTCATATGGTCACTAGTTTTAGTCCTGGCTGCTAATGAGCTGGGAAAACAGAAGAGGATGACCCAAAGCTTGCACCCATGTGAGAGACCCAGAAGAAACTCCTGTGTGCCAGGGTCTGATCAATTAATCTTTCACTGCTGTGGCCATTTGGAGGGTGAGCCAGTGGACGGAAGATCGCTATTTCCCTCCCCTCTCTAAGTGTGGTGTTCAGGTCAAACAAACAGCACCCTACTACCATCAAAATAATGATAATGTCAAAAGTGTCCGAGAGAGAATACATAGAAATCTCTGAAAAATTACAATTTCTACTACACATGAGTCTGAACATGTACAATTTGGATGATTCATTAGTCAAAAGAAACATGCCAAAAAAAAAAAAATCTAGGACTAAACAAGCCAGATTGATTTGCTCTCATTTTTATGAACTCAGAATGTATTTTTCTGAACAATGAAATGTTGACCTTTCATTACCTTCAAAATGGTCTCAATATTTGTCTTTAAAATTTAAAAAATTCTAGTCAAATCACATCTAAGAAGAGTGAGAACAAAAGAGCTTCTTTAATCTCCAGTCTATAAGTAATGGCTGCATTAATATTCTCTCATCCTTTGGCTCTGAACAATCTGATGGCTTTACTCTAGTTTTGCCATACAAACCGTTCAGGGAAATGAGGGACTAGCACAGGGCTGTCAGCATCTAAAAGTGCTTTAGAATCTTGATGCTTGTTTGCATTTGCTTAGTGTAAGTATCTAAGGGAAAATTAAGCTCTAAGCTAAGGCTACTATTGGAAATCCCAGAAAGCGCTCCTGGGAATGGTTTAGCTTTTTTGTGACAACAGCTTTTCTGATGAAGTACACCATCCCCTAATGAAGAAGACCTGGCACTGCTGCATATGATCACATTTGACCGATGTGAGGAGCACGATGAGCCGTTTGGGAGTCAGTGTTTTAATAAAGGAAACATGAAATCGTCTGTGCTTTGGCAAGACATTCCCCAAACCATCGTGAGAGCTGTCGTGCTGGCCCAAAGATGATCCTCACCATGCTACAACCGTGCAACTTCCCACTGGCATCAGTGACAAAGCTGGCACATACAGCAGGATGTCGTCCAAGAGTACTCATGCGGGAGTCAGCTTCTTTGGATCCCACAAAAAACCAACCAACTTCCCTGCTCCCCCGAGTAACCAAGACTACTATGGGATGGAACTGAGCTCACCGGAGCTACTTAATGTGTTTAGTTCCAGGCCAACTGGATGATCAGGGACAGGAGAAGAGCAACTGCAGAAAGGAAACTGCAGCATAATAACAGTCAAAGGTGACACATGTGAAATAAAGATGAGGCCAAAAAAAAAGTGAACTTTAAATTACCCATCTGGGGACTGTCTCACACTTTGAAACAGCATATCAGTAACCTTTCCAAAACCACATTATAGAAAAAGATAAAACACAATAAACTTTCACTATTTTGGCAAAATTGCAGCTTGCATATTTATTAGTAAAAAATGTGCCTTACCCGCATAAATGCTTGATGTGTCCTACAGCTGCTAGCTTTGCTTGAAACTTGGATACTTCCCGTAATCACATCGGAAGTTCCATTGGAAGAAAAATAAAATCTTGATGGTGACTCTGCCTTTCTGTTCACATCCAAGCTCATGTTATAAAACAGAACTGCAAAAAAGCAAAATAAAAAATCAACTTAAACAATTACCTAAACAGTTACTTCATCTTACAGTCACAAAAGTTATAGACAATACTGGAAACATCAAACGTTGTTTATTAAACAACCTTTTAAAATTAACCTGGAATATGAAAGGGGAAAATTTACAATGTTAACTTCAAGAATTATTTTTATATGAAATAAAGGATGTAAAAGCTTCCCTATAGTTTTGTATTAGCAATACTACCATTTCATCATTTGCTTGATCCTCCTAAATGTAAATGGGCCTCCTAAATGGACTGGCACTGTGGTGAAGTAGGTTAAGCCTCTGCATGCCCATGTGGGTCTCCAATCAGGGTGGGGAGGGTTCAGGTACGGAAAAAGGTGGGTGGGAAAAATGTTCTCTTTTTTCCTCCTGTGTCTGCAGTGGGGGAGGAAGAGGAGGTCACTCCTTGCTGTCAATCTACATCTGGCACTCAGGGATAGGGGACCGTCCTTTGATGAAGCCTTAGAGACCCCAATGTGGGGAAGAATGTTCCAAGGGTGTTGCTTGAGAGGTTTTGATAGTTCTGAGACACTGCTAGCTTTGCTGTTTCAGGGATGAGAAAATCTTTTCCAGCACTATTGGCTGGTGTGTGCCCTCCAGCCCAGCTTCTGTGTATGTCAGCAGGCAGTAGGCATTGCTCTTTAGCCTAGTCCATGTCTCCTACATGGAAAGATGCCTTGTCCTGACTCAGTCATATCCCCTGGTTTCTCCCTTCTAAACCATTCTATCTTATCACCCCTGTTACCTGCAAGTACAGTGGCCTGCTTCATGGAAGAACCCAGAAGTCATTTCTCCCCTGCCAAACATGTACTCAGCTGTTCCTACTCTATTATGTCCACAAATCCCTTTCACTGCACAATCTGTAGCCTTTTCCCCAATTTTCTTCACCTAAGGGCCAGGATAGCATGTCCCTGCCCAGCATTCCCCACCTCCCAAACATATCTTGAAAAAAAATGAATAGCCAACTATGCTGGCACACTGGTATAGTTAATACAAATTCGGCATTAACAAGGCCCAGGATGCCCACCAGTTATTAACAGCTTTTCTGCCAGCAGTGTAACACTTGCCTAGGTACAAGGCAACTTTGGTAGTTGCCTATAGCTGGGGTAGTATCTTTTCTTTAAAAGTTTTGACATATAAAGTTGATGTGATAGTGGAGTGCACGTGTCAGAACTGGACCTCTTCGGCAGCTTAGACTGAGTAGATAGCTTGCCCAGATAAAGTCATATAAAGTCATGGTGTGGGCTGGAGGGAAGAGTCAGTTGGGTTGAGCTAGGCGTCAATGCCCATAGTTCAGAAGTACAGCTTGTATGGTTTGCACAGAGCTGTCTCTTCTGGAACAATACAGTTAAGAATTGCCCATGTGCCTCACTTCTGGCTTTGGCCATAGCCCAGCCCTGGCTACAACGAGGTTAGTGAAGTAAACCACTGGATGAGTGTACTCTGCCCTCTGTTTCTAAAATGAATGACAACATGTCTTCTGTCCACTCCCATACCCTGATTATTTATCATTGTTCTATGTTTTTGTTAGTGTCTAGTATAACTTTCTAGAGTTAAAGTGTGTTTAAAAATTTTAAAAAATAGACATTCTTTCAACAAACATCCCAGTAAGTGCAGCGAGTTTATTTCATGTGTGGCATACTAAAATTCACCTGTTAAAGAAAAATCTTCAAATCCACAAAAAGGTGTAATGTTTAAAGCAACCAAAGTGCCATCAGATCTTGCTAAGAAAGTGAGAACCAAATTATCTTCAAAGCAAGTTAATCTAGTCATCTGTTGAGATGTTGCTCATTTTATGGTGCACTACCTCGTAAGTGATATCTTAAAAATTTATGTAGTTCCTTGGGCAAGCACTGTGGTAGAATAAGCTAATGCAGCACTGGCATCCCATAGGGATGCTGACTCAAGTCCTAGCTGTTCTACTTCCCATCTAGCTTCCTGCATATGACCTGGTAAGGCAACAGAGCTTGGCTCAAGACCTTGTGACTTACATCTGAATGGGAGACCTGGAGAAAGCTCCTGGCTTCAGATCAGCTCAGCTCCAGTTGTTGTGGCCATTCAGAGAGTAAACCAGCTGATTAAAGATCTTTCTGTAAATCTGCCTTTCCAATAAAAATAAACCTTTTAAAAATATCACTAGCAGACAAACTGCCCTTGCATTTGAACATGTTTATTGTGTGAATGCTTTCCCTGAAGGAATTACGTTGAAAATTATACAGTAAACTTCTATAAAAATGCTATGATTACTTTTGGGTTTCATGTTTTGGCTTTTAATTATTTAAAACATTCTGATCACAATGCATTTGTTATTAAGCATCTGTTTTACTGAAAGGAAAATAAGCCCTATCTATTCCACACCGTCTTTCAGATAAGCCGTCAGGTTGTTGAAGGGTAATCCAACTCATGGAGCATACTTGTAATCTATTGCTTTTTAAATCAATAACTCAATGAAAGCTTCTCTCACACTCTCATCACTCACTACAGCTCTGGCCAGAAGTTTTCCTCTGTTTCACTGTAAGTTAATACAGCCTGAGACCTCTTTGACATACCACTAGTTTGATTCCCTTTATGATGTATGGGTATAGCAGCCTGTAAGGCAATGGATATAATCAACATGATAGGTCTTGCAGGGCTTATGACCTTTGTGAATAATTAATGTCCAAATGATAAATCCAGATATTCTACCCTCCTGCATGAGTTAGCTTCACTAGTTGCAGTAATAGTGCCTCATCTCTGGCAAACACTTTATTCTACTGCAACAAAAAAATCTGCACAAATCACGTATGTGATTTGAAATTAGTGAACAACTTTAGATGAGCCTTGTCACTGCTACTGATTCTATATGTTCGCTTCATATTTAGAAACTTTGTTGAGTTTATTTCTTAATTCAATAGTTCTTTACTGGCTACTTTGGGTTTTCTATATGTGGGAAGATTTTATTTGAAAACTGAAATTTTAATTTTCCTTTTTGTTATTTTGAGGAATTTCATCTTGCGTTGCCTGATTGTCCTGGGAAGGATTTCTAGTACTATACAGCCTAAAAGTGGTAAAAGTGGTAAAAGTGGGCATCCTTATTTTGCTCTGAGAAAGACTTCAGCTTTTCCCATTTCGGTGGAATGTTAGCTTTTTTTTTTTTTAACATTTTCAAATCAAATTGAGATACATTCCTTCAATGTCTGATCTGTTCAGAATTTACATCATAATGCGATGGCAAATTTTATTATATGTTTTTTCTGATCTATTGAAACCATCCTATGATTTTTAAGCTTTCACTGTATTTGAGGTGGCATGTTACACTTACAAATCAAATCAGCCTGTGTCAAACCATCTTTACATCCTGGGAAAAAATCCAAGTTGATCATGGTGAATATATTTAATGTGAGGTTGAATTGGGTCTGTAAGTGTTTTTATTACTTGGGAAATGAATATATCTTGAGGAAGTGAAATTTGCAGGAAATCAAGACTTGTATATTATTTATAGACATCAGAATCAGATAAACTTCTTTCATTATTCAAATAGAATAGAATACTGTGGAAAGAATCTTCTTCCTCTTAGACCTTCCTCTTAACTTACACTACCTCCAGATGTACAAGACCTCAGTGAAATAGAGGAAGTGTCTACACGTACTTTCTGTATGAAAATAATTTAGAGGAAGCTCCACTGTTTCTTCTTAAACTAACATAGCAAATGATCATCCAGTTTTGCTTCTTGCCATAACCTTTAAGCAACTACAGTGTCCTGATGTGTCCCAATCACTTGCAAAAACATCATAAAGATCCAGAAGGAGTGGCAGAATGAGAAGTATCAAGTAGCTTCTCTTACCAGCCCCTAAAGAAGATATTCATGATGAAAACACAAGGAGGATTCAAGAGGCTATCTTGGGGGCTGGTGGTGAACGGTCCATATGTTCTATCAGACATTCACTCTATGGGGCAACTTACCAATATAGCCTGGAACCTCTTTGCCTTTATATGAGAAACAAAGTGTCAGATCCATGCACACAGAAGACATTCCATTCTCAGTGCAGTCAAAGTTTGTTCTATTTATTGCCTCAGGGTGGTCTAAGGAAGCCTCAACAATCACTACAGGTCTCGTCCTAAGGAAAAAAAGAGTTGGTAATATCAATTGCAGCATTATTTTCCTTTAAGGAGACAGTTGTAATTGTCAATTCCCATTGACCAAGTAATTTTATGAATCTGCATTATTAAAAGCTTGATCCTATGCATTCACGTCCATTTAAATTTCTGTGCATAGATCAAAAGAAATTTCTTTACATGTCTAAAATATTGATGTTCTCTGATTTGTATAATTATGTCATGTCTGTGTAACATGAAGAAAAAAAATTAAATTTCAATAATGAATTATCACAATACCAAAACACCATTTAGGCCACTATCATTGCTGATTTTAAAATCTGCCTCCCATCATTTACAATTAAGCCTAGTTGTCACTAAGCAGTGAAACTGATCAGCCTTACCTTAGTAACACAGCAGAATTAGAGCGAAAAGCACCAACTGCCACATCTGGAAGATAAGAAACCACAACACAGATTAATGATCATCATTAGTCAGAGAGAATTACTTTTCAGCTATAAATTCTTCACTACATATCACCTTTGACTGTATCAAAATACTATTTACGGAAAATTAATTAGAAAGACAGTCTAACATGTCAGGAATCATTCTATATTTGCATGAATGCATTCATTTACAGTTTCACTCATTTACTTTTCTCATAAAGAAACTTTATGATAAAAATGCATACTATAAACTTACTAAATTAAAACTCATTTTTTTGGACTAGAAACATTCATCAAGAAATGTCTTGTCAATGGAAACAGAGAAGCAGCTTTTTATTATGACAAAAATTAAGCAACTAGCAGTGCAAAGAAAAGGAATTAATTGATCATTTCTGGCTCATTTTTGAAATGAAAACAGCTTTAAAAATGAAGCAAAAGGCGGCCCACATTGCGGCAGTGGGTTAACTCATTGTTTTTGTCTCTAGCATCCTACATCTGAGTGTGGCATGTCCCAGCTGTTCTTTAATTCTCTCCAATTAGAGATTGGCCAAAATGCTTGGGCTGACACTGCCCACTTGGATGGGAGTTCCTGGTTCCTGGTTCCATTTCAGCTGGCCCAGCCCTGGTCATTAGAAAAGTGAACCAACACAGAGCGGATTTCTCTGACTCTGTCTCTCCTTCCCTCTCATTCTGCTTTTCAAATAAATGAACTTAAAAATTGAAAGAAAAATGATGAGTAAATTAAAATCTGTCACACCAATTTTGAAGCCTTTCATACCACACTTCACAATAAAGAGTATCCAAAATAAAGCTGGTATGTAAACTTCATACTTACCTACATATCCATTATTATCTGCATCAATCTGACCTGATATAGATTGTCCAAACATACTTAATGATCTGCTGATTTGAAGTCCTTCAATTCTCTGAAAAACAAGTAATGAACACCTTACATCCCAGAGAAGCAATGATGGAACTACGTAGTGCACCTTCACATGCATGCCTGGCTCATCAACCATCAGCATGCATTTAAGCTCAACCTCTCTAAGAGACAGAGCCTTTTCCAGCTTTAAATGGAGAATTGAGATCTTTCTTATGACTGAAAAATAAAATATGCCTTTACTTTGTGAACCACGGAAACATCATGAAGTATAGATTTTTCTAGCCATCCTCACTCTTTCTTTCCAAATCTTTTTTCAGGCTCTGAAAAAAACCTTCTTAAACCAACATGAACAACAAATAATTTAGAAAACAACATGCCTAGATTCACTGAGCAAAGACTACTGCTTGGGCTTCTGATGAAAGCCAACTTATCCAGCCAGATTGGTTCCTGGCATTTAACGAGAACAACCATAGTTAGATAAATGCATCCAACTCCTTGCTTCTAATTTCATGTCCAAAAACTGATTTACAAATACCAGGCTACTATCCATGCTAAAAATAACCAGTATTTTTTTTTTACTAGATAAGTACATATCTTTAATGTCAAATATATAGAATTATTTGTACATTCTTTCCTGACCAAACCCAGTAATGTTTCCACAAAAACATTTAAAAAATCTTTTTCTCTCTGCATGTAGTCTTCTTTATATATACTGAAATGCTTGAATGTTTTTTCAAAATATAAAAGTGAAGGCAGAGTTAGATCAAGAAACTTTATTAAATTGCTATCATCTTACTGAAAGACACACAGAATATTCCAAGTGTTTGATCTCCCTGTGCAATCTGAATGAAATATGGGGCTTCAGCCACAGGGCAAGACATAGTTAATCAAATCCAAATGGGTTTGTTTGGATTGTATTGGCTATTACCTCAGAACAGATTTGATGAAATACAGAAGGAAATGTTACATAGGCTAAAGACAAGCTAGGGTAGAACTGAAGTCCAATCAATTTATGAAAAAAAAAAGTTTTGAAGAGATAATAACATTTACAGCAGACTAACAGACTCTTCACATTTCCCAACTAAAAGTAAAATCTTTACAAAACAGATACTCAAGGAAAAAAGTCTGCACAAATACTGTGAGTTTCAAAACTTACTTGTAAGTTTTGCCAGTACTACTCTTCAAAGTCGAAGAGCATCTTACCTGTGAGAAGGTTGGTGAGATTCCATCTACTCGGCCATTGTAAATGTAGATTGCACCTCGCAATTCATCCTCTTGTGGTGCTCCAATAGCAACATCTGTCCCCAAAATTAAATGGTGGGAAAGTAAGACATTTTTGATGCAAATGCTTTCTGGAAAACTAACCTTCATGATCCTTAATTCATATGAGATAGCACAAAGCTCCTTCTAATAGAAGAAACACCCAGCGCCCAAACCAAAAATTTACACAGAACTGCACAGAGCATTTTGCTCATGGAGCAAAGCAGAGTGAATGGGCATGAGGGACATCCTAAGACAACGGTCCAGGGAATTAGCCCACAGGGAGCTGAAGCCTGGCACCAGTTATGGCACTATACCTGGTTCAAAATCCAAGTCTGTTCTCCTCCAGTAGTATGGGATTATGACAAAACCTGCCCTTACATAAAAATTATAACTTAGATAAAGTGCGTAGAGGACCACTTTCATGACTTTGAGAGTTGCCTCAAATTAAGATATCAAGAGGGAAAAACATTCAAAAAAAGTTTGAAGAAATAAATATTTTGTCTATGAATTTGGGTATAATCATATATTTATGTGTTTTTATTCATTTTAATCAAACCTAAAGTGGTTTGTCTCCATGGCATTTAAAAATATTTTCTATTAAAAAAACCACTTTCTAACAATCTGGTAATTTTTCTGGTTGTTTCTATGGGATTAAAAACATCTACAATATTTGATAATGCTAAATACTATATAATTTTTAAAATACAAAATTATTTTGTTTTCATCTAAAAATAGTATAATGCCTGTAACTTATTTTGTTTAAATATACTAAGATAAGTTTCTCTTGAGTTGTGCAAGCTGTTTTAAATCTTTCTATATAGATATGCCACTCACGTATTCATGGTAAGTATTTAATCCATCTTGGAGGGATTCACAACATTAGCAACATAAAAAGGTGTACAGAGTCTCATGAAGAGAAACAGCAAATAGCAACTAGAGTAACAGCATCACAGGAAAGGAGGAAGAGCTGGAAATTAGGGAAGGTTTCTCATGGACAGTAAATATAATGATCATAAAACATCACAGGATCTCAGCGGACAGGGGAAATACAGCCCAGACAGAACAGTTCTATGCAAAAACAGTGGTGCAAGGGGCAGGATGGCATATGGCATGAAAGGCGAATGATGAGGAAGAAATGGACCCAGACTTATCCATAGGGATATAGGGAGAGTGACAGGAAGAGAAAGAGAAGAGTGGGAAAAGAGAAGTAAAAAGAAGGGGTGGAGAGAGAGGAGTGTCTCATAGTGAAGACTAGAGCAGCTGGCAAGGTCATTAATCAGGAGTAGGCTTATGTTTCAACCACATGTCTAAATCCATAGGAAATGGGATTCTATACCATGAATCCTGATAATACATTTTAAAAGTCTGTGCTATGGAGTATAAATACTAGACAATCCTAGAGTTCCAGATATTTGCTTAGTGATCCAAATTAAGCCAGAATATTTAGATGATACAGATTGGCTTTTCCAATTGAAATAGAGCAGAGATTCCAAAGAATCGGATTCAATGCAGAGGACATGTGGATATATCCATTGCTTGGTTATCTTACACAGAGATGAAAATTCTTGTCTCCTAGGATTACACTAAAATACATAATAATGTGCTTAGGTTCTTCCATTTCACTACAGCAATGAGAAAAAAACATATTTAAAGTCTGTATAAATCACGAAGTCACTTCTCATGCCTATACAGTTCAATTGAGGCAACATCATGCAGAACAGTCACTGGTCTACTGACAATCATTTCTACTTTTCATTTGAATCTTCTGTTTCATTCTGCTAGTATAAATCATAATAGGTATCAATCTATTCACAATGCTTTGGACATCAGTCAACATATAATATTTATAATGCAGACACTATGCAAGGGGCTTTACATATATATTTACTCATACAACTCTCACAACCAAAAAAACCAAACGTTTTGATTTTCACTTTATAGGTGATGAAACTAATTATAATCAGCTCAAGATCAGAGGTAGCACGGAGTGCAACATGGAACCCAGTTAGTTTTGCTCCAGAGCTTGTGTTCTCCATCAGAGTTCTGTAAAGCAGTGACACTAGAGGCTGTGCCTAAGGTCTTCCCTTCTTATCACCTGTTCCTGCTCTGGGTCAAAGAAGCACTCAATTAACAATGTGACAATATATCAATATTTAAGTGTACATAAGGTAATCATACGGCTTATGAATCAATCACAGAACATTTGGTTGTTCCATAACAGTACTTAAATGTTTAGTGTAGAACTAAGATGATAAACTAATCAGTAGTCTTGACAAATATATTTTACATAAGAAATGCAAAATTCTATCTGTTGATCATGCCTCTTAACTGGAAGTCCCATACATATCATCTTAACTACCCAATACACAACTTTCATTGTTTTGATGAGATTTTCACATTGACGAGTCTAATATAAGCAAATAGGGGTTCTGGAATTCACATCCTTCCAGACAGAGAAGAACCAAAACAACAAATAAAATATCTGAGGCTTTGGGGATTTCTTTCTTTCTTTTTTAGTTCTACTAATTTAAGAGGTAGAGTAGAGTGCTATCTTATGAGATGAAGGCCTAAGAAAGAACACTGGGACTCAGCAAGGGAAGAACAGGGACTAGGTAATACTGGGAGAATTGCCATGTCAATACAGAGAAAATAGCAAAGCACACTGTCACAGGATCCAGAGATGAGCAGGGAGAATTATGTGAATTTATTTTCCTCCACAATCTATTACTTCTATTTATTTGAGAGGCAGAGTTACAGAGTACACAGAGAGGAATAGAGGCAGAATGATCTTCTATTCACTGGTTTACTTCTTAAGTGACAGAAATGGTAGAGCAGGGTCAGGCTAAAACCAAGCACCCGTGACTCCATTCAAGTCTCCTAGAAGGACAGTAGAGGCCCAAGTACTTGAACCATTCTCTATTGCCTTTCCAGGCATATTAGTAGGAAGTAAATCAGAAGTGGAGCTGCTAGACTTGAATCAGAACTCATATGCAATGCCAACATCTCAAGCTGCAGCTTAAGCTGCTGCACCAGAAACTGGCCCCTGGAGTTTTTTCGTTTAATTTTTGTTCACAAGAGTTTTGCTTTACAGAAGAAATTTATGGTACCTATATCCTGCCCCACCCTGTATACACACAAGCTGAAGTGGTGTGAGCCATCTGGGGAAAGGGGCCACTGTCATGATTTGTGCTGCTCTAGAGGACAGGAGCATCTGCATTATTTTTATACCTAAGAACCTACTATCAGGAAAGACTATAGCCTCATGAACTCAAGCAGACATGGCAGCACAACTGCAACACCAGCACCTTAATTTATGTAATCGTTTGTACAGAAGACTGGTAGTGATTCAGCACGGTAGGAGAATTATGTCCCCAGAACTTTAGGAGAAAGGCACAAGCCCAGCAGACTTGGGGCCCATGTTTTCACCATGCCCAACCATGTGGGACAATGTTTCCAGCTATTGAGACTCTGCCCATACTGGGACTGCTGCCACAGGCTACTGGTAGACATAGGCAAGCCCACCAGCACATGCAGTGGTGCTCCTGCAGCCTTGGGTCTATTCCTACAGCTGTGGACACTGCCAAGACCCACAAAACCTCACTAGGACTGAGAACAAGTGTTCTAAGACTCCACTGCCACTCCCACCAGCTATAAGAGGAGGAGGAATGGGGAGACTTCACTGCAATGTCCACCTGGAACTAAATCCAAAGTAACCTAATACACTGACACCCAAAGATTTATCTTTAGGGAAAAGAAGTTAGAGAAAACTGATTCATCATATGTACGACTATAAACACAGGGGCACAAGAAGTATTAAAAAGTAAAAAAAACATTGTATTTCCAAAGGAGTATAGTAACCGTTTAGCATAGGAACCCTATAGGAAAAAAAATATTGGTCAAATTCCTAACATTAAATTCTAAAGAATAGTAAGAGAATAAAGTTTAATGCAATAAGGAAAATACATAACAAATTAAGGAAAATATTTGAAAAAAGAACTGAAACCTTAGAATCTAAAAGTTAGTCAAATAAATTAAATATTTAAAGCCTAAACAAAAGATTAATTCAGGCAGAAGAATGAATATATGAACTTGAAGAAAAATCTCATAGAATATGCTAAACAAAATATGACAAAACAAAGTAAAAAATAATGGACAGTCCCCATAACTTTGGGAGAAGAGAATATGAATATTCAAATTTTTGAAATCTCCAAAGAGGGAATAAAAAGGCTAACATCATATAACATCTATGTAGTGGAACAGCATTCTAAAGCTTCATCAATTCTGAGAAAAATTTGGATTTCTGGGAAAAAGAAGAGAGACCTATGTGACCACAATTAGACAAGAGTTGCTCACCGCAACATATTGTAATTAAACTCTCAAAAGTATAATCCACAGATTTCTAAAAATTCCATGATAAATGTGCCAAGTCATGAAAAAAGAACCTCCACTAGACTAACCACCTATTTCAACCGAAACCTCATTGACCAGGGTGAAACAAAATGATATGTTTTTTTTTTTGAAAGGCAAATTTCCAAGTGAGAAGACTGTACCCAACGAAGGAGAAGCAAACACTTTAAATAAAGACAAAAAAGAAGGGAAATTATTGCTATTAGACCAGTCTAACAAACGATACTTAAGATATTCTTAAATATCCGAAAACAAAACAAACTATGTCATGAAAATACATGAAAGTGGAAAACCCACAGAAGAGCAGCTACAGGCTCAAACTTCATCAATACAGCCAGTCACCAAACAAGAAAGAACAAGAGAGGAAGAATAAATGGTTCTGAAAAGAAACAGTAGAAAAATAGTGTAATGACTGAACTAAACTTATACTAACCTTGAATATAAATAGCTAATTTCCCCCATGAAAAGATACAGGATGACTGAATGCATCTATAAAACTTGATCTAACCATACTCTGCCTACCAGAAATTAGCTTTGAAACTACCAGTGAAGATTCACCTAGATCAATAGCGACAAATTAAAATATTCAATGCAAATGCAAAATCAAACAGTAGCTAGATATTTGAGGAAAAAACAATGTTCACTACTAATAAGCTACTAATTCCAAACAATTGTAAATATGCATGCACCTAATGCCAACTTTATGCCAAATTTAATGCCAAAATTTATAGAATAAACATTAATACCTCTAAATGAAGTGATTTACTGATACAGTAATGAGGGACTTTAGTACCCAACTTTTGTCTGGACAGATTACCCAATTAAAATCAACAAAGCATCAAACTATGCTACGGATTAACTGGGCTACAATGGGTCTGAGAGATGATTAAAGTGCGTTTCACCTAACAGTTACAGTATGCACAATCTTTTCACCAATCTGAGGGACATTAGCAAAGACCGTGCAGGAGGCCACAAAACTAATCCCAAATTCAAAACATGAACCATACCAGTTATCTTTTCTGATCATAATACAATAAAACTAGGATTACCATCAACAAAAAGTTTAGGAATTATGAAACCATATGGAGACAAAACAACATGCTTCAGACTGAAATAATTTTTAAGAATCAAAAGGGGAAATTTAAAAATGGAAACATGAAAAAGTATGAGGTAGAGTAATACTAAATGGGAAATTTAGGAAATAACCACTTATCCAACAATAAAGATTTGAAATTAGTATGCTTAAGATACATCTCAAAGATCTAGAAGATCAATAGCAAACCCAAAGCAAATTCATATTTGCAGGCAAAAAAAGCAAAGACCAGTGTAGAAATAAATGACATGTACACAAAGGAAGTAATGCAAAAGAACACTTAGAGATTTTCTTTTGGAAAAAGAAAAAGTAAATATTTCCAGCTAAACTAATTGAAAACAAAACAGAGACAGGAGAGACTGCAGCTATACGCCAACAAATTGGAAAATATTTAAGAAATGGACAATTTCCTGGGCACATATGATTTACCAAAATTGAACCATGAAGACATGGAAAATCTAAGCAAACTAATCATACGTGATGAGACTGAATCAATAACGTCTCACAACAAAGAGAAGCCCAGGACCAGATGGTCTCATTGTTGAACTCCAAACTTTGAAAGAAGATCAAATTTTCCCAAATTATGCCAAAAAGTTGAAAGGGAGGAAGCCCTTCCAAACGCACTGTACAAGGCCCACATAACTGATTTTATTACCAAAAAAGACAATATGATTTTACACATGAAAGAACCTAAATATTCAGCCAAGATATTTTAGAACAACTAATGAAGTCAGTAAAATTTCAGAATAAATTTAACTTATAAAAATCGTAAGATTTTTAGACAATAACCAACTTGCTGGGCAAGAATGTATAACAGAAATTCCATTCACAATAGCTACCAAGTTTACCTAGATATAAATGGAACCAATTATGGGTAGACCTCCAAAACAAAAATTACAATATTCTGATGAAAGACATTGAATAAACACAAATGAAAAGACCTCTCGTGTTCATGTGAACAGGAGAATATTGTCAGAAATGTCTACATAATACACTTAAATATCATGTGTAATATCTGAAAATGTCATTCACATTCCTCATGGAAATAGGGAAATAGTCCTCAAATTTACATGGAGGCACAAGGATCACCATGTAGCCACGGCAATTTTTTACAAATAGAACAAAGTAGGAAGTATTACAATACCCGATTTTAACATATACTATAGGGGGTAAGCATGTTGGCACAGTGCATAAAGCTGACACTGTCTTAACCCACCATGTGACAACACTAACCTTTCATTTTACAGTACCGAAAAAATTCAGAAATTATAGTATTTGTATACCAAATTATACTATTTTAGACTTTTTAAAAATTTGTTTGAGCAGCAGAGTGATGGCAGTGGGGTAGATCTTCCATCTGCTATTTCACAATGTCTCTCCCCACCACAAAGACTGTAACAGCCAGTGCTGGCTCAGGCCATTGTCAGGAGTGAGAAATTCCATTTTGGCATTCCACACGAGTGGCTGAGTCCCAAGCACCTTAAGCATCAGAAGCAGAGCAGCCAGGAGTCAAGCTGGCACTCTCATATGGGATGCTGACATAGGAACAGAGGCCTATCCAGCTGTGCAACACTGACCCCTCTGCTGTTAGACATTAAGAGGCTCATGTCAAGCACCAATTCAGTAACTTACTGTTTTGAAGAATAATGTACTTTATATATTTAAAGTAGACTTGAATATTTGTTTAAAAAATGAAACAAGAATTAAAGCACTCCAGCAGTTCAACTGTATTTAAATTATTTCAAAGGCACAGCAAGAGACTAAGAAAGAGAATTTTCACCCACTGGTTCAGTTCCCGAAATACCCACATTAGCCATGGCTGTGCCAGGTCGAAGCCAGAAGGCAGCAACTTATTCCGAGGCCCTTCCCTGGGTGGTGGGAACTCAAGTACTTGGGTAATCATATGATGTTTCCCAGTGTGTGTATTAGCAGGAAGCTGGATCAGAAGCAAAGACAGGACTGTGTCCATTACTTTCAGATAATGGGATGCAGGTGTCCCCAGCGTGGCTTCACCCATACACTACACTGCCCACTTTCACCCATCATTTATTTTTACTAACCAAGTAAACTTTAACCTAATAATAGTGTGTACTAATCGCCAATATCCATATTATGATGATACCATTCAGTTGGGGGTGGGTCACAGTAGTGTTTTTTTTTCTAGAAGCACATTCAAAGGATATAATGTACAATCTGTGACGAGAGCATCAACAAAATCGCGTATTTTGAACATCACCCTTTAATAACAAAACTAATGATCAATAGCAAAAGTCAAGTGCAAAACTATAAAAAGAAAAAAAAAACTTAGCCCTTCTGGTTCGATTTTCTATATACAAACAGCATGAAACTTCCACCATATTTTCTTCCATGAGCCATTCTAAAAGCATAACTCAAGTACTGAATTATGTCATTTTAGTTACCTTCAAAGCCATCATTGTCAATGTCACCAAGATTAACTATAGACTCTCCAAATCTTGCAGCATATTTGTCACTTCCAATGAGCTCTGTTTCCATTTCATTCATTACTGCTCCCTAGATAGAAAGGGAGAGGAAAGGTGTCATTATAACACATCCAGACAACTTTACACATGATTTGCTACTGTAATTGGATATAGATTTTTTCTATTGAGTCAAACAAGCTGGACAAACCGCAGACTGAGCATTAGCACACACATCCCAGTTTAATTCGATAAATATTTATTGAACATGTCAACACATGTAATAGTATGATTAGAGCTTGGAGGATATAAAAATGATCCAACTCATGATCCTTAGCTTTGAAAATTCAATAAATCATTTTGATAATTCAATTTAGCAAATATTTATCAAGCTCTTAAAGACAAGGCAATGGTCAGAGTCAACAGGGAGAGGGGACAACATAGTGTGTATGAAACACACTTTGCTTAAGAAATCCACTGTTATAGGGCAAGGCTTAGTGCAAACAAGTCTTAATAGGATGGGGGTCCTTCAAAAAGTTAATGGAAATGAGGTTAAAAGATTTTTTTCATATAAAACATCTATAAAATGCATGCATTTAAGGGGTATTCAAAAATTCCTAGTAAATATGTATCATGACAAAATTGCATAGATTTCAAGATTTTTTAATACCAAAATAAGCCAATATTTTTGTTTCAACTTCCATGAACTTACAAGAAAAGATTTATTTGAAATGGAAAGTGACAGGAAAAGGGCAGAAAGGAGGGAAAAGGAGGGAATGAAGCAACGAAGGGAGAGGAGAGGGAGAGAAGACAGAGATAGAAAAAAGGGGAGGAAGGAAAGAGGGAAAGAAAGAAGGGAAGAACGGAATAGGTAGATGGGTGTTTTCCATCCACTGGCTCACTCAACCAAATGGATCACACAGCCTGGCATGGCCAGGCTAAAGCCAGAAGTCTGGAATTTCATCCAGGTCTCCCTTGTGGGTGGCAAGAACTCAAGTACTTGAATGGTCAACTGTTGCCTTCCTAAATGTATTAACAAAAAATTGGACCAGAAGTGCAGTAGCTAGCACTCAAACCAAGTCAAACACTTCTGACAAGAAACTAGACAGGATTGCTGCTTATTGTAAATGAGTTCCTCTCTCCACCCTTTCATTCCTTTGTCCCCTTCCCTGAGAAGGTACACAAAAGACACCACTTCCACCATTGTCTTGGAGACCCTTCCTGTCAAAATGGCAGAAGATCTCTCAAGTAAATCTCACTTTGGCCATGGGGGTGGTGGGGGGAGCGCAAGTACTTTGAAATGATGTGCAGGCCATCCCAAGGAGTGGCTGAATTCCTTGTGCTACAACTGTGCAACAACTTTTGCAACATAAAACATTGCAATCTCAAGAAACAATGCAAGAATATTTGTGACAATCCAAAGAAATTTCTTAAGACAGCTAGCATACAACGTAATTACAGAAGGCTAGATATGCTTTGACATGTAGCAAAAACTATCAGTAAAATGCAAATTTCAAAGAATGTGGTATAGTAAATTATTTTTATTTAAATTTCAGTCATCAGGTGTACTATTTTGATTTCTAATGTCAATTTTCTTTTAATTTAATGAACAATAGAAAGCCATTGAAAGTTCTGAGCTGGTGAGTGGCATGACTGAAGCTCGTCTTTGGAAAATCATTTTAACGGCAATGGCATGTGTTTTGATAAACTGATTCTTTTGAAGTTGGAAGAAGAGTTACAATAAGACATGAAACAATGCTGTAATATTCACTGTTGCTTCTATTCCTCTTCACACACTAAGTACATCAGTCTCTTGGACTGAGGGGAAAAAAATGGTATATATTTCTCATAGATCTTTTCCCATTCTCAAATGTCCTAACATAAATTAACGCCAGTATTTCCAGAGCATTGACAAGATATGAGGAAAGAACAGGAGTGTAGCAGCACAGTGGGCAGAGCTCCATCACTGCCCTCCAAGCATAGCTCTGCTCCACAATCTTGTCTGAATTCTAGTCATACAATTGATTAATCAGTTCATTAATTAGTTCATACAAGTAACATATCCATTTTGGAATTTGTTATGCCAGGTTTATATCCTCATCAAAAATATATTCTACATAAATCATGCGGTTTCTCAACAGATCTTGTTTTTATTTTCAAAACAAGGAATTGAAAACATTTCACTCTATTTTTTACTTCTAGCAACAGCTTTTAGCTGAATAAGGACCTTAGGTAAGGTCTTAAATATGGACCATAACTGCAGAACTGTTAAAATATCCACTTTGAAGTTAGGTATATTATCGAATATAACTAAAAGAAATTTCAACTCAGAGACTGAATACATACAAGCTGTGAATGGATAATCTCTGTAATGTTTTATTTTATACTTATGTATTATCAAAAGAGGACAGCTGCCCATTCATCGTCATATCCCATTTGTAATGCATTTGTACAGGATTTTTATACAATTTTCAGCAACATTAAGTGCAGGAATATATGAACTTAAAACTTAGGAGTAAGAACCATTTCCGTGCTAATCACATTCCACAAACGGCTTCTAATGTGAAGGTGTGTAAACCTACCGAGCCTGAGTTGAGGTACACGAAGACTCTTCCTTCCTCCCTGATGGTGCTCTGCATGGGAGCCCCCACGAGTAAGTCTGAGAAGCCATCCGCATTGAGGTCCACCGCACAGACAGAAGCTCCAAAGTAGGAGCCGAGCTATCCCCAAACAAATGAGATCCAGTCATTGATAGCAAGGCACGGTTGCTTCCAGAAGCCCTCGCGGTACCAAGGGTAGAGACATATTACCTTTTTACCTTTCATTTCATGTAAGATGTTCAGTTCTTTGGCATCAATGCTGAATATGTATGCCTGTCATTGGAGGGAAAAAAATTAGACAAAGTTATATTGCTATAGAATTAAAAAAAAACTTCAGTTTGATCAAAACAGTTTTCAGAGCTTATGATTGCTCAAATAAAAACAACTCTTAAAGAGCAATACAGAAAATTTTGGGTCTGCTTTCCTTTAACATGTTTTACTTATAAAGCTTTTTTCTTTTCAGGAATTTTTAGTTTACTGATTCCATGAAGCAGACACAGAAAATGTTGCACCTGTCACTGTTCAAATGCAAGAGTAAGGAAAGAAAGAAAAAGAAAAACCTGACCAATGTCCACAGAATAATTTGTGAAAACCATAAGCAAATGTAACATTCTTTGAGTTTTATCACAAAATGTGTAGCTACCTCAATTATCTTTGAATAAAAGGTAACCAATAAATGTATTCCCTGAAAACATTCATATAGTTCTATTTTATAAACAATTTACTTCAAAGAAATGCTTTGTCTTTAGTCCTTGTCTTTAGTAAAAATTTTTTAAAGAAAATGACTGAAGTAATTAAACTACAGATCTTTTACAAATTCCATTAAATACAGCACATTACTGTTCATCTTGCGTTCTTTGGAATGTTTTTACTTCCTCTTTATTATTCTATTTTCTTATGCAGTTCATTTAGAATTTGGGAGAGAAATAAATATAAAAATGGAATCCTTACTTTTCCAATCTGTTCATGCTGAGGAGCTCCTCCAACTACTTCAGTGGTATGCTGGCTCCGGAAGTGTCCTGCTCCAACTGAGTACCCTTCAAGAAAAGAGCAGGTGTTTCACCTTTAATATTACATAAAATACATCAGGATTTTATTCAGAATTCAGAGACTGATTTCAAAATGACCCTACTAAGTACTTTTAATACTTAGCTTGGCAATACTTAAAATGGACCTCTTAGTGTAAGTCTGAAGCAGTTACGTTGTATGCATTATGAAGCTGTAGTTATGTGGTTTGTATTCTAAGTTCTAGAAATGGAAAGAAAAGGAGTCTTATATTCATTAGTTCCTGGAAAGCAGCAGTAATCAGCGTCTAGGATTATAATAAATACAGGGACTTCAAAATGTCCATAGGAAAGAGGAACTGGGCCAGGTGGTGAAGATGCTACTTGAGATGCCCAGAACTCATATCGGAATGTCCATAGCGGGCTGGTGTTTTGGCTTGGTTTCAATTCCAGCCCCCTGCTAATGTGCACCTTCAAAGGCAGAAAATGATGGGTCCAAATCGAATTCCTGCCTCCAGGCTTCAGTCTAACCCAAACCCTGGTTTTGTGGACATTTGAGAAGTAAACTGATGGCTAAGAACTGTTTGTCTCTTCATCCTTCAGATCAATGAAAATAAATTTTGAACAGAGTGATTTCTAAACATCAACTTTCTCCCTATCTTCCTATAATAATTTGATCACAAAAGTGATGTGATTTTATATTGCACCAAAGGTACAATATTGCATATTTCCTACAATACTTTAAGGTATCTTTCCAAAGAAAACTGGCAATTCCTTTTGTTTGGTGATGAGTTACTTCTGCTTGAATGAGAATATTGCTTGTTTAATTACTCCTAACAAGATACATTTGAAGCACACACAATTGAAACAAATCTGATTTTCTGAGAAACTACAGAGAAAGTGTTTCTTATAATGGGAAATAATGCCATTTTCAAATTTCTGTATAAGTACAGATGACAATTAATCCTGCTGCTGATTAATGAAACAATAAGGAAGAGGATCATGATGAACCAAAACCATTTAGCTCTGGGAACTATTCTAAGAACATAAAAGACAGAAGTCAACGAGGCATGTTCAGACTCCTAGGCTTCTCCATGTTATTTCTGAGCTAGAACGCTGCAGGCAGCGCCACGGCTGGTCAGTTGTTTCTTTTAGAAACTGTACTTACTTACACAGCTTTCATTGCATTAACTTGTGGAATACTTTCACAAAACCTCCTGGGAATGCAGGAAACACTGAGTAGGGGGTACCTATCTCATATTAAGTTGAATGCATATGATATAAGCAAGTATTTGCTAAAGTGAAGTACAAAGAGCAAAACTAAACCAGGAGTACTAATCTAAGACTATAGCCAATATTCAATATTGCAATCCTTTGTGAGTATAAGACTAAGTTAACATTTCACACATTTTATCCTTAAGAGACAGTTCTGGATTGGGTTGTTAACTGCTACTATCCATATAGGTCTTTTGAACATTTCCCTTATGGATAATCACTATGTCTATAAACAGAGATGATCAGTTTTATAGTACCTAAATAACTTCCAAATTTTACTTGATTGTATCTGTCTAAAAAAGCTTTGTATTTATTTGTAGTTATATTGTAGACAAAAAGAGAACCAGTCCAGTACGATGATCCTGGGGCTCCCATCACAATTAAATCCTGTAAGAAAACAAAAACAATTTATCATTCATTTAAAAGTTAGTCTCACCACTCCAAAACTCCTGCAGGTACACACCATTAAATAAAGTAACTGGTCCAGAGAAAACATTGTTATAGTCTATGAAATATGAGCTTCTTGCTTACTTAAATACCTATCAGAAAAAAGCCAACAAAGTGGTGAGTTTCTTTTAAAATATATAATCTCAGAGAAGAAACTCCAAAACACTTCAGATATCAGTGTATTTTTTTTAAATGAAGGCAGAGTCATTGCCACTATAGCAAGCTCTCAAGAAGAAGGCAGTATGGCTTCTATTAAAGAAGTTATACGTGGGGTAATTACAGAGATAATTATGTGCTACCAAAGAATAAAAGAGAGACAGATTTTATTTCAATTTGCAAAATCCTTTGAACAGTGACAGAACAATATTAGCTTAGGTTGAAAACGTAGGGAAGTGGAGGGGAAATGGAATTTGGAATATATCATAAAGAGGAATTTAGGAAACAAAGAAGGCTGGGATATGCAGGCTATTGCATAAGTTTAGATGGAAAATCTTTTATCTATCAAACCTACTTAATGTATTCCTATATATCTTAGTCCTAAACCTTAGAAGATCAATTGAAATAGAGAACATTAACTTTTTAATATAATAGTTATTATTTATATGAACTATTAGCCCAAAACTTGACATAGCATGATCTACATGAAGTTGGAAAACATACAAGACTTCACCACAGCATGTGAATAGGAACTGGAAGAAGTGGAGGTTGGCTATAACTGTGATATTCACAGTACTTCCTGGACAGGCAGAGAGAACAAATGAATTCAAGAAATACTCTGTTATTTAGGAGAATATCAAGTTTTGGCTCCAGTGCTGTAGCCTAGCAGCTAAAGTCCTTGCCTTGCCCCCATGGGGATCCCATATGGGCACTGATTCTAAGCCCAGTGGCCCTGCTTCCCATCCAGCTCCCTGCTTGTGGCCTGGGAAAGTAGTTGAGGACAACCTAAAGCCTTGGGAACCTGCACCCATGCAGGAGACCCTAAGAGGCTCCTGGCACTGGACTGGCTCAGCTCTGGACATCACAGCCACCTGGGGAGTGAATCAACAGACTGAAGATCTTCCTCTCTTTCTCTCCTCTTTTCTGTACATCTGACTTTCCAATTTCAAAATATTTTTTTTAAAAAAAGAGGATATTAACTTCATAAATCTACCAGTTATTGCTACTTTGATAAAAAAATGTAAGCTTGCATGCACCCTTATTCCCTGAATAGTTAAAATTAATACTTAGATATTTTCTATACCTGTTAAATAAAACAATTGTAGCTATTTTGATTTCTATTAAATTATTGGCAGAAATAATACTTTTTAGGAAATAGTTTAGCTCATTTTGTGCGCAATATTTACTCAAAATGCATCTAGAATATTAAGCAGTCATAATGCAAATTTAGGAAATATAATAAATATTGTATAATTTTTACTTCAAAGCTTGACATTAGACTTCTAAATAGTTATAAGTACTAAGGGTTTGGACTAATGTGGCAGTATACAGGCTACTCTTCAGCCTGTAGCACCAGCATTCCACTTGAGCACTGGTTGTTGTCCCAGTGCCCCACATCCAATCAAGTTCCCTAATAATAACCTGGGAAGGCAGCAGGGGATGGCCAAGGGCCTTGGGTCCCTGGATCCGCAGGACAGTCCTGGAAGAAGTTCCTGACTCCCAGCCTTACTGAAGAGCTCTCTCTGCTTCTCTAATTGCAGCTCTAACTTTCAACGAAAATAAGCCTCCTAAAAAATTGTGTTATTTATACATATATATAGCAACTGTTCATTAATTACCTGTGTGTAAAAACTAGATATCCCAGCTTGACATGATGCAAAGTTTTCTCCAAATTTTTTTACATAATCTAAAATGAAATATAAAAATAGTGAGTGCAACATAATACTACATGCATAAAAATACATTCATCTCACAGGGACGTTTTCTATTATACAGAAAGCGCATAAAGTCTGCTCCTGGCAAGTTTCCAGATAAATAGATGCTGTGAACTATAGTTCTCATGCTGTTCCCTACTGTTCATATGCTGTTCATTCTAGATTTACTCACAAAACTGCAATGTTGTTCCCACTGACCAACATTCCCTCAACACCGGACCTCTCACCATTCATGACCACCACCTTCCAACTGTTTCTACACGTTTAACTATCAGATTCTACTATGAACGTACTCCAAAAGTTTCTTAAAAATGAAATTAAAATAAACTTATTTTGGTGAAATTTTGAAAACCATGCAGCTTAATGCACATTTTTTCATGAACTTTTTGAAGATCCTCATGTGTGTAAATCAACTTTTCTTTTTACCCAAAATACCCTTTATTTCCATTTTCTATGAACATTTTGAAGATCCTCATATAAATGAGATCATCTATTTTTTTTCTGAATCTGGCATACTGCTTTAACATAATGTTCTCCAGGCTAATCTGTTGTCACAAATAACAGGATTTAATTTTAGAAAGGCAAATAAAAATGTTTTGAGCACCTAGGTATGTATGTGTGCAAATGTCTGTTACATACATCCCTCATAATTCCTTAGCCATTCACTTGTGGACAAACACTGAGGTCTTTCCCTCATTCTACAAATTATACCATAATGAACACTGACGTACAGGTAGCTCTACACGGTACTGATTTTAATGCTTTGAGCAGGTACCTAGAGGAGAGATGGCTACATCATACGTTTGTTCTGTTTTTAATTTTTTGTGTGATGACCTCACCAATTCACAGTCCTACCAGTATCCACACCCTCACCAACATTTGTTATCTCTTGCCTTTACAAGTTTGTTTTCATCCACTTGAAAAGCAACTGGAGAGAAATTGACCTTCTATTTGTTAGTCCACTTTCCAAATGTGTAATAGTCAGGGCAGCACTAGGCCTAAGTCCAGAGCTGGAAACTCAACCTGGAACTTCCCTGTGAGTGGCAAAGGCTCAAACTGTTGCGACCCAGAACACACGTTAGAAGGAAGTTGAAACTGGAAGCAGAGCCAGGTCTTGAACACAGGCGCTCCAATGGGGATGCTGATATCCAACTCTTTTTCAGAGGTAATATATTTATTTCTTTTTAATGTGAGATCTTCCATCTACTAGTTGGTTCCTAAAATGGCTACCCTAGGCCAGCACAAAGCTAGAAGCTACACCTCAGAATTCTATGGGTGCGGCAGAAGTCCATTCAGTTGGACAATCTGCCACTGCCTTTCCATGCACATCAGTGTTATGTCGTATCCAGAGCCGAGCAGTCAGGACTGGAAACAGCACTCCAGTACAGAATGGCAGCATTGTGAGCCTTGCCTATGCTGGTCACGCTTACCTACTTAAATCAAGTTATATGGATGTTTGTGTTTTGTTATCAAATTGCTGGATTGCTTTTATGTTTTGACTATTAACATTCTTATAGATACAAAGCCACCAAGCTTCTACAGAGCAAAGGAAACAAGCAACAGGCTGAAGGCACAAGCTTTGTGTCTTGTTGCGATTCTGCTCATTTAGTTTTGTCTTTGTCGTTTGAACCTTTGGTATAATTACTGAAAAGGAATAAAAAAACACATTGCTCAGGTCAACACTAAGGAGCTTCTCCCCTGTATTTTCTCCCAGCAATTTTCTAGATTTACGCCCTACATTTAAGTCTGTTCTACTTGAACTGACTTTCATGTATGATGTAAGGTAATGGCTTCACTAGTTTTCATTTATGTATGCGGTTTCTCCAATGACATTCATTGATGAGAGTATCCTTTTCTAGATTTCCCAGCTGAAAATCAGACTCACAATCCACAGACTGAAGAGCCACATGGAGCTGAGAGGCTCATCCACACAGCACCCACTCAAGGGAGTGCTCCAGGACAAACACAGCACCCACTCAAGGGAGTGCTCCAGGACAAACACAGCACCCACTCAAGGGAGTGCTCCAGGACAAAGCTCAGCTTCTTCTGGAGAACCTTGATAAAAATAATGTGAACCTCACCTACCTTTCAATTTTCCAACCATGAAACTTAAACAAGTGTTACATCAAACTCCAGGGAAGAAAGATTCCAATATTATTAGACTCAATGATTGAATTCAGGGGCCCACATTGTGGCACAATGGGTTAGGCTACCACCTGTAGAGCCAGGATCCCATACAGGACTTGGTTCAACTGCAAGCTGCTTCACCTTTGACCAAGCTCCCTGTTCATGTGCCTGCCAATGCAGCATTAAGATGGCCCAAGAACTGCTTTGGCCCCTTTTGTCACCCATGTGGGAGACACAGATGAAGTTTCTGACTCCAAGCCTCAGCCTGACCCACATCTGGCCTTTCCATCCACTTAAAGAGTAAATGAGAAAAAAAAAAAAGAAGTAAACCATCAGATGGAAAATTTCTCTTTCTCTAATTCTGCCTTTCAAATAAGTCTTTTAAGTTAAAAAATAATAATAAAAGAATTGAAATACTTGGCTAAAGTCTTACCAACTAAAAATTTTTCTTTGGATGATGGTCTCTTTGTGCAATTAGAAGAAATGGAAATTAGAATTCATAAATATTTATTAGTTCTCTAAAGGCACATTTTTTAGGATTTAAGTATTTATCTTACCATTTTAATTATTTTATGAATATTCACCTTTAACTTCAGTTGCTTATTTCCTTGCTCTATGCATGCTGATGTAACTTCTGCATGAATTTCCATGAAAGACATTTCAGAACATCAATGTGTTGTGATTTCAAGGAATACATAGGAATTGGAATACATACATGTATACATATATACGTATATGGGAAGGATTTACACACATACACACGTATATATGTATGTATGTATATATATGTAAGTATATATACAGCAATGGGAAGGCTTTACTTAAACTTACAGTTTGAACCCTCTGACTTCTCTTGGAATCAAAAGGTAATAAAATCCAAGCTAGTCTTTTTATTACTATTCAGACTTTTGGGTGTGACTTCTTGATTTCAAACGTCCATATTTTCTAGGCATTGCATTTAGATATACTAACTCAAAAATGAATTACAGCAATCTAAGGTAATTACCAGATTCTAGCACTATTGAGACAACTATATAGAATTTGTATTTCTGGAAAAAAAGGGCAGTTATGAAACATAATGCTACTGCAGTTTGAATAACAAAGGAAGGAAGATTTCAAGTAATTAAAAAGGAACATAGCTTCTTCGAATATCTGCCCCTATGACTGAACATACAAACCTGAGCAGCTATAAAGATATTCACTTATTGATCATAATCTAGTTAATACTGAAGACAGGCCTTACCTTGATAGCACGGAGCTATTCTTTTACTCAGTTCTGTTCGTAAATCAGAGGGCATTCCATAGCAAACACCAATAGGGAGCTTATTCTCAGTCTTCATGAAAAATATATTTTTCCATCGATGCCCACATGTCTGAACAAAAGGAGATCAAGTGATATAAAGGCTGCAGCCAGGATACACAATTTCATGACAGATCCATGACCCAATTCCAATACTTACCACGATGGATCCATTTTCTCCTGGCTGTCGAGAAAGTGTGACCCCCAGCCACTGATTATCTCTCTCCTCCAGGCAAGTCTTTCCACAAGGCTCTCCAATAGGGCTCCCTGCAGCAGTTAGAAATAATTCTATCATCAGTTATCTTGACAGCAATGTTACCCTACAAGAGCAGAGGAAATAAATGTGTGCATTCATCTACGGTGCTTCTCCTTCAACCATGCTTGCTTCGTCTTACACTCATTTGAGAGGAAATTGAATGCTCTGTGCCAATATCATTTTCCCGTTAGACAAAGTGATACTGTGTATAGAGATGAGAGTGAGGAAAGCCCAGGTAAAGCTGACAAGGGTAGTGCAAATTACTTTCCAACCAGTGTCCAATGCTTGGAAAAGAATTTGTTTTGTTTTTATTCAGCTAGCAATGTAAACAAGGTTCCCAGAGCACTTTTTAAAAGCTTTTTGGTACTGACACATTAAGAATAGAAATAGTACAATAAGGTCCTCAGCAATTAAGCCTTAGTTTATTGGAGCTGAAAGGCAATGGCTGAATGGCAATTAGCATCTAATAATGCCTACCATTTAAAACAGACTGCTGTGCATTTTACATCCAGTGGATTTGATTTGTGTTTTCAAAAAAGATAAAAAGACTTGGAAAACCAGATTGGTTCAGCAGTAAATAATAAACTTCACTAGGCACTTTGGCAACTGCATGAATAACCAGACCATTAAATAAAAGAAATGTAATGTAGTGCTTCTACACGGTACATGAGATTTTTCATAGTGAGTTTTTCTCATATTACATGACTTCCTTGTGTTAAGGCTATAATCTTAAGATTGATTTAAAAGGCAGCATTACAGAGATTTCTGGGGTGGAGACAGATCTTCCATCTGGTGGTTCACTCTCCAGATAGCTGTCTCCACCAGGGCCGAGCTTGGCCTAAGTCTGAGTCAAGGAGCTTCTTCCAGGCCTCTCTCATGTGGTTGCAGAGGCCAAGCACTGGGGCCATCATCTGCTGCTTTCTCAGGCACAGCAGCAGGAGGCGGGATCAGAAATGGAGAAGCCGAGACCCAAACCAGAATCCATGCGGGACACCAACATTGCCAACCATAACCTAACACGCTACACCACAATGCTGTCCCAAACAGCTGCAATCTGATTAAGATCCTCATGAAAGTGATTTCAAACAAATGATTTGGGGAAGAGTGAAACACGTTACTAAGATCCTTCTGCTATCCTATTTTCACTCAATTGACACTTGATAATTCTATTCCATCTGCGTGAATTCCACAGGCAGGCAGAGTGGCATTCGTATGATTGGATAAAGATGTGGACTTTTTAAACTAATTGTTGAGCACGGTTCACTAGATGTCATGTACTCATATCTTTGTGATAACTTCTCTAGTCATTTTGTCACCTCATGTAACCTAGACCCCTTCATACAACCACCTGGAAAAACAGAATACAGATACAGAGAAGGCATTTCACAAGCAAAGCTATTTGTACTATAATTGTTAGGCCAAAAAGATTTTAAGTAGAGGAGGATATTTACATATACTCTCCCCCCCCTTTTTTTTTCCTGTTCTCCCAAGATAGCTGAACAGAAAAACAAAAAATTCCCAACCCCTCCTCTCAGGTTCTGATTCAGTAGTTCGAGTGCCCCATGTGGTTCTTATGGTCAAAAATACTATCACGATGGAATGTCAAAAATATCAGGTCAGCTTCCTTGTAGAATAGAGACTACTCCCATGAACTGGAAATGACTTCCTGAAGGGCTAAACGCCAGGAGACCAAAGACAGGCATGGAATAAAACTGCTGAGGTTGATTTGCAAAGTCTGACAGTCAAAGAGGAGGCTAGGTGTGGGTGTTTGGCAGCAGAATTACAATGAGAGTTCACACATCAGCATCTACTTGGGTTCCAGCTCCTCCTCCTGCTTTCAGCTTCCTGCTAATGTGCAGCTTAGTAAGGAGCAGGTGACAGCTCAAGTAATTAGGTTCCTGTCCCCCATAAAGGAAACTTAGATTGTATTCCTGGTTCCTGGCTCCCAAGTCTGGCCCCATTTTTATTTGACTAGTGAACCAACATGGAAATTTTCTCTGCTGCTTTCTTAAAATTAAGAAAATAAAACGAGGGTCTTGACAGAGGAAGCAGGGAGTAATATGGGGGGGGTGTGTCAGGAGTAGAAATCATAGTGGGTGTGTAAAATGAACAGGATCTAATGCAGGGAGGAGCTAAAGTGGCCACACGATGCCAAAACAGCATGGCGAACACAAGTTTCATTGTGATGTAATTTTAACTTTTCACTAAGTTCACCTTTTAAAAAATGAGATTCACTGAACCCGAGGTTTGAGTTCTGATTATTTACTGCAATCGATATGTTGGCTTTTCTTTCTCCAAAAATATCAAAGTCTAAAATTACAGTCAACACTTCTTTAAGACAACTGAGTAGGAATAAACAGGTAAGAATGAAAGTCACATATTTAAAAATTTCTGCGTTAAAATGTAATGCTATTTAAAGGACATTTGCAGTGGGATTACAAAGAAGATCAATAAATTTACTACGGCAGCATTAACCACCCAAAAGTTCACAAATAACAAATACACAATACGTTACAACCACAAAACGCTATGGAAATTTCTTGATGAAGCTATCCAACAAGTTCTTAGGTACAAAACAGTGTTCTGTCACTGTCTGGCAGCTGAGCTGTGTAAGCTTTTTAACAAGGTCAGAAAATCTGCCAGCACGAAGCTGTTTTCTGCTTAATATTCCATGTTTCATTCAGTTCCGGCAGATGACACCACAATACCACAACACCATCGCTGCTTGGTTTTAGCTTCAGGTCATACTCTGCACAACTTTTCCCAGTGTGCTAACCCACGCTTCCCTCAGCCTCTGGAGACGACACACTGCTTCTGTCAGCTATTTCAGGATGAGCCCCATGTGGTCTGGCCGGAGTCCTGGGATTTAACTTCTATTATAGCTCACACTCCTCTTTCCTTTCTAAGCTGAAAATGACTCTGAACACAGAGCAAATAACCTTAGAGAATCCACAAAAAAAAAGAGATGTTTACCTAAGATAAATGTAGAAAAAGTTTTCCCAGGAGTACAGTGTTGTGGCCAACTGACCCCTGAGTAAAAAATTTTAAATAAAAACATGTGAGAGTGTGGGTAAAGGGTGGGAGGCAGCTTAATATCACTAAACATCCCCTTACTTGTTTCTTACTTCCTGGCTCCGAACTACAAATGCCTCCTAAAATACAAGATATCCTTTTTTTTTTTTTAAGACTACTTTAAAAAATTTTCTCTTGGAAAGGCAGATTTACAAAGAGAAGAAGAGACAGAAAGATCTCCTGCCTGCTGGTTTACTGCCTAAGTGGCCACAACTGAGCTAGAGCTGAGCTGATCCAAAGCCAGGAGCCAGAAGCTTTTTCCAGCTCTCCCATGTGGATGCAGGGTCCCAAGGCTTTGTGCCATCCTCTACTGCTTTCCCAGGACACAAACAGGGAGGCAGATGGGAAGTGGAGCAGACGGGACATGAACCAGCACCCATATGGGATCCTGGCACATGCAAGGAAGGAGGTGGCCTTTAGCCACTAGGCCACTGTGCCGGGCCCAATATACTAGATTTTTGACTCATGGTAAGCAATTCTCAAATATATCCTGTATTCTAGCTGCTAGTTAATCTGCTGGTGGGTAACAGATGATGCCCAGTATCAGCCACCAAAGACCTTAGACCTACCAGATAAGCTCACTTGAAGGAAATCAACACAGAATCAAAGATTTCCCTTTTAGGATTAACTATGCTTGTTTACGGACAAGCGCACTGGCCTATGCCCAAGTTTCATAAATAGTGATGCTATTCATCTTGACCAGGCCTCCATCTTCCTAGTCATCATCCCCAGTCCCAACACTCAGCCCAGAAATGTATGCTAAAGAGAGAAGGGGAGAGAAACAGAGCAATCCACATGTTTGGAGTATCCCCCTTCTGCTTGTGCAATTTCCTTCAATATGTATGTTCAAACAGATGACTACAAAGGCACAAAAAAAAATCATGAGAACAAAGTAATGAAACAAGTATTCTTCCAAAGAGACACACATGAAGCTTTACCAAAGAGCAAACAGACTCACACATCAGCGTGCTTCTCCTTTTACTTCTCAGCGCTGCTTACGTCACAAAGGTCACCTCAACACCTCCCATCACTCAGGGATTTTCAGTACCCAACACCAGATGCAACAGGTCCAAGCTGTCTAAGTCCTCACTTCTGCTCACAGTCATTTCTTAACACAGGGAACTTCCCCCTGCGTCTTTTTTGCTGCCCTCACAGTATGGACGGAGAGGCCAGGCCCTTCCTTACCTGCAGAGCAGCCCCGGGGCCCCTCCCACATCACATGGTTCTTGAACTGGAGAATCACCTGGATGAGTTTTAAATATGCATCGACACCTGTGCCTCACTCAGCTGCTCACATGGATGTGGTTTACCAGGATTCAGCACGTTTAAAGGCTTGCCAGGGAGTTGTAGTGTCAAGTTGGACTATGCTGCCCATGGTTATGTCTTTTTCTGGATTATATCCAACTGAGTAGAAAAAGCGTTCAGCCTTAAAAATAATGGCAATATCTTTTGTCTCTCTTGGTTTCAGCTTGATATTGAAATGCACTGTCAAATGTTAAGCAACTTTTCTTCATGTAGATATACAGTATTTCGAATTTGATCAAAAGTAATGATTACTAGAACTGTCAGGAAAATGCTAATTCTCATGAATGGCCCTGCCAAAATACAATAAACCCAGGTCATCTTTATATTTTATCCCAGTGTCATGCTTCAGTGACTTTTAGTCTGGTTCTCAACCCATCTCACACATTACTAACATGAACTTTCAGTAAAGCAAATCAGTTCTCATAATTGTGAAATACTTTACATGGTTTAACGTAAGAGGTCAACAGAAACTAACATGTGAAAATTTCTCATGGTTTCCTACAAGTAGAGTGACTAATTCTTAGCACAATTGAATGTATTTTCCCAATTAACATTATGTAAAAGCCACAGAAAGCTCTAAAGCTAAAAATTAAGCCCATATTTCATTGCTTTGGGTGAAAACCTATTACGTCAG